CTTTTCTTTTTATCAAATATCTCTAAAACAATGTTTGCAGTAAGACGCTGGATACAAATAAAGCAGCTACATCCTCCTAGCTTATCCAGATCCGTATCTTTGGGGTTTGCTTCAAGGTAAGTTAAACATAAATGAATTGTTCTGATCCTTCATTTAAAAAAAAAGGTTGATTTACACATAATTACCCTCTTATTGGTCTCCCAGTTGGTTATGAGATAAAACAATTTAGTGACTTCTTACGCAAACTTCTTTAAAGGAGAATGAATATTAAAATTATTCAGTTCTATTCAGTTTATTTCTATAGCTCCAATTCACATCATGTCATCTCAGGTCACTTTCCAGTTCACCAGATCATCCAGTCAGATTGATTCAAAGTTTTCTATCTAAGGAAAACCAGCTGATTGCATCGACTCATTGACTCTTCAGCAATCCCTCACACTAAGCATGCTTGCAGCGACAGTGGAGAGGAAAAATTCCCTTTGAACAGGAAGAAACCTCCAGCAGAACCAGGCTCAGTGTGAGCGGCCATCTGATCGAATTCAGTTTGTTCATGTTAATGACAGATCTTCCTCATGCTCAAAGGTTACCTGTGGAGTACCACAGGGATCAGTGCTAGGACCAATTCTCTTTACTTTATACATGCTCCCAATTGGTAGTTATTAGACAGCATTGGATTAATTTCCACTGTTATGCTGATGATACCCAGCTATATCTGGCTATAATCCAGATGAAGCTAACCCATTACATAGATTACAGGCATGTCTGAAGACATAAAAACCTGGATGACTCTTAACTTTCTGCTTCTGAATGCAGACAAAACAGAAGTTATAGGGCCGGATCTATCAAAGGTTTGCGTGTATTAAAACGTGAGCTATTTCACTGCGCACGCTAAAAAATGTACAAACTGATCTATCAACAGCGTGCTAAAAGGATTTGGTCTTTAAAACGTGCTAAATAGCGCCTCTTATCCATTTAGTACTTTTTCTGCAATGAATATGCAATATGGGGCGTTTACACGCAAAAGTGCGTCTTGTGGGAGGAGAACATGTAAATATATTAATTTAGCACTCGCAAAGTGATTTATTACACCTGAAAGCAATTTTGCTAACGGTATCTGACTCTATATTGAACAAGTTTCAAAAGAAGGTGCAAATGGTCTGTATGCGTAATTGCGCACACATGGCAGCGGTTATTGTCGCAAGAAGGAGACATGGAAATGAAGCAAGCAGACGCAGAGAACGCATTTTTTCACTCCGTGTGAATATTTTTGGAATGAACGAGGAAACGATCATCAAAACATATCGTTTATCCAGCATTGCCATTTTGGAGCTGTTGGAGGAACTCCGAATGGATTTGGAGCCAGCCACAAGGAGGACCCACCCCAGATATTACAAAACTCCTTGCAACGTTGCACTTTTTTGCATCTGGGTCATTCCAGCATAGGTTGCAGCGAGAGCTGGAATCTCCCAATCTCGTTTTTTCAGAAGTGCTGTCCGACGGGGTCGGGGTTCTCCCCCTGCGCCTGTGGAGCAACATGCCAATGCTGCAGGGATGAATACGCGCAATAATCTCATCCACAGTCACTTCTTGTGAGCCATTTGGTATGTGCATTTTTCTACAGGCCAATACAAAACACTAGTGCATTAAGAAATTTTAATCTTACAGTGACCCCCAACAAATATATATATATATATATATATATATATATATATATATATATATATATATATATATATATATATATATATATATTTATTTGTTGGGGGTCACTAAGATTAAAATTTTTAAATGCTCTAGTTTGTACAAACTACTTTGCCGCAAACCACAAAACGCGCAAAACCATCATTTAAATAGGGTGTCTCCAACAATTTTGCACCTGCCACCAGTTACGCAATCACTCTTGTTAAATCACCCGCAATCCATGGTTCAGCCCCTCGCGCAAAATTCCAGTTTGCGAGCGCAAATTACTGCACGCAAAATTGGATCTTGATAAATCCGGCCCATAGTCTTTGGACCAGAGTCTCTGAAAAAGAAACTGATTAGCCAGTCACTTCATTTGGATGGGATTAAACTGATTTCAGATAATAAAGTAAAAAATCTTGGTGTTATTTTTAAATCCCAGATCAAAGAGGTTTCTAGAATTTCCTTCTTTCATCTGAGGAACATTGCAAAAATTAGAAATCTCCTGTCCAGGGGTGATGCTGAGAAACTAGTCCATGCATTTGTTACTTCAAGGCTGGACTATTGTAATTCTTTACTATCAGGAAGTCCACAAACTGTAGTTAAAAGCCTTCAGCTGATCCAAAATGCTGCAGCCAGAGTTCTAATGAAAATGAAAAAGAGAGATCATATCTCTCCTATCCTGGCTTCTCTTCATTGGCTTCCTGTTAAATCCAGAATAGAATTTAAAATCCTCCTTCTCACATATAAAGCCTTAAATGGCCAAGCTCCATCTGATATCAGAGATCTGATTGTTCCTTATGTTCCTAACAGAGCACTTCGCTCTCAATCTGCAGGTTTACTAGTGGTTCCTAGAATTTCTAAAAGTAGAATGGGAGGCAGATCTTTTAGTCATCAGGCTCCTCTCCTGTGGAACCAACTACCAGTTTTAGTCCGTGAGGCAGACACCCTGTCTACTTTTAAGGCTAGGCTTAAAACTTTCCTTTTTGATAAAGCTTATAGTTAGAGTGGCTCAGGTTATCCTGATCTATCTCTATAGTTATGCTGCTATAGGCTTAGACTGCTGGAGGACATAGGGGCCCCATTTTTCATCATTCTGCTTCATTCTCTCTCTGTTCTCCTATTCTGCAGAATCTGTTAGTTCAATCTCTAACCTTCTGCTCTCTCTGCTTTTCCTCAGAGTAGCTTTGCCTCGTCTGTTCCTGTTTGGCTGTGACGCCATCCTGGAAAGAAACATCAGCTGTGCTGCTTCTATCAACACCCTTGTTTATAGATGTTGGAGATCGGCCTGTTTTCCAGTGTGGTCCTGTTTCTCTGACCGTGACTGAGTGGATGTGCTCTCTTCGTCCTCTGGCATGGGAGCTGGCTCGGAGCTCGTCTGCCTGGCTGTGTGTTTCCTGGACGGGGCCGCCTTTTACAGCTGCTTTTTGTATCTCTGCTTCTGTCTCCTTGAACCCCAGTGGTCCTCAGCAGATGGCCGCTCACACTGAGCCTGGTTCTGCTGGAGGTTTCTTCCTGTTCAAAGGGAGTTTTTCCTCTCCACTGTCGCTACAAGCATGCTTAGTGTGAGGGATTGTATTTGAGTCGATGCAATCAACTGGTTTTCCTTAGATAGAAAACTTTGTATCAATTTGACTGTATGATCTGGTTGAACTGTAAAGTGCCTTGAGATGACATGTGTAGTGAATTTGGCGCTATATAAATAAACTGAATTGAATTGAATGACACTTAATTATCAATGTGCAAGAGCTTAGAGCGCAACAGGTGAGGCAATTCTCAGCATCAATACCCTTCTTCTCATAACAGCGTCTCAGCAAAAGGCTAAAGGGCTATTCCACTTCTTTTCTTACAATCTAAGTGTTGTTAATCTGCTCTTCTTTAAAAACTATTGCAATCAGACGCTTCAGAACTGCTTTATATTATTCCAGGATAAAAGAAGAATTTTTAAAACTCCCTTTTAGTTTTTTCTCCCTTGTGAAACTTCAATAATAAGTCCTGGAAGGGCTTTTTTCTTTCTTTTTTTGCTTCTTGGCCATACAGGTGCTGGTCATAAAATTAGAATATCATGAAAAAGTAGATTGATTTCAGTAATTCCATTTAAAAAGTGAAACTTGTATATTATATTCATACATTACATACAAACTCATATATTTCAGATGTTTATTTTGTTTAATTTTGATGATTACAAATGACAACAAATGAAAATCTCAAATTCATCATATCAGAAAATTAGAATATTACTGAAGACCAATAAAAACAAAGGATTTATAGAAATGTTGGCCAACTGAAAAGTATGAACATGAAAAGTATGAGCATGTACAGCACTCAGTATTTAGTTGGGCCTCCTTTGGCCTGTATTACTGCAGCAATGCGGCGTGGCATGGAGTCGATCAGTCTGTGGCACTGCTCAGGTGTTATGATAGCCCAGGTTGCTCTAATAGTGGCTTTTAGCTCTTCTGAATTGTTGGGTCTGGTGTATTGCATCTTCTTCTTCACAATACCCCATAGATTTTCTATGGGGTTAAGGTCAGGAGAGTTTGCTGGCCAATTAAGAACAGGGATACCATGGTCCTTCAACCAGGTACTGGTAGCTTTGGCACTGTGTGCAGGTGCCAAGTCCTGTTGGAAAATGAAATCTGCATCTCCAAAAAGTTGGTCAGCTGCAGGAAGCATGAAGTGCTCTAAAACTTCCTGGTATGTGGCTGCGTTGACCCTGGACCTCAGAAAACACAATGGACCAACACCAGCAGATGACATGGCACCCCAAACCATCACTGACTGTGGAAACTTTACACTGGACTTCAAGCAACGTGGATGAAGTGCCTCTCTTCTTTTCCTCCAGACTCTGGGACCTTGATTTCCAAAGGAAATGCAAAATTTACTTTCATCAGAGAACATGACTTTGGACCACTCACCAGCAGTCCAGTCCTGTTTCTCTTTAGCCCAGGCAAGACGCTTCTGACGCTGTCTGTGGTTCAAGAGTGGCTTGACACAAGGAATGCGACAGCAGAAACCCATGTCTTTCATACGTCTGTGTGTGGTGGTTCTTGAAGCACTCACTCCAGCTGCAGTCCACTCTTTGTGAATCTCCCCCACATTTTTGAATGGGTTCTGTTTCACAATCCTCTCCAGGGTGCGGTTATCTCTCTTGCTTGTACACTTTTTTCGACCACATCTTTTCCTTCCCTTCGCCTCTCTATTAATGTGCTTGGACACTGAGCTCTGTGAACAGCCAGCCTCTTTAGCGATGACCTTTTGTGTCTTGCCCTCCTTGTGCAAGGTGTCGATGGTCGTCTTTTGGACAACTGTCAAGTCAGCAG